GACAGTGCTACTTTGCGCCGCTCCTGCTCCGAATTGTACTGCACCGATAAATTTGTTACTATCTCCATCGTTCGCAACCAAAGCAAGCAAACACAACTGTTACACCACAGGGCGCCATTCCTTTTTGCTTACCTCATTCCATTTCCAGCTTCCAATTCCACTTGATAACATATTCATGTACTTCAGCATGAATAACCCACAATCCCACCTGCATTACAAATCATAACCGCAAATTTAGACACAACCGTTGCTGAACCATGTCAAAAACTTCCAAACCTATGCACGTGCAACTTACGCATTCCGTTGCTATGGACATGTGGCTGCAGCTTTTATTTTGTACAGCCAAAGGCATGACGAATACTGCCCCTCCAAACCATAAGTCAGCGCTGCTTCCAACCTTTCAATCTTAGGGCCATACAACAAAAACATATGCGATTTTAAGTATACTGCCACCAATTGTAAAGGTGATGGTCGTGTTCATGAAATGTTTGACAAACCAACTTAGTTTACCATTGTCTCCACGGAGCTGCGCCTATTAATTTCCGTTTCCTCGTGTCCTCTCATTGAATCATAAATTAATACTTCTTCGCTTGCCATGTCCACCACACACATATACCAATGCTCATTGTGCCACATTGGCATGAATATCTGAAGCATAACGGCGGTTAGTTGGTCATCGTCATGGGAATCTGTATCTATTCCATTATGCTACATAACAGGGCAGCTTCTCGTACCTTCTCACACTTTTTTATATTACCTCCTACTTTACATTCCTGTAGATATGTACAGTAGAGCTCGTCTGCTGATTTGTTGAACTCCAAAATCTCTTGCTACAACACGACAGTAAAATATGACATTTTAATATGAATGTACGTACTCACACCCCCCAACTTTGGCCGAACACTTGTACCTGAAACCAAGTTGGCATGAACCACCATCGAATAGACTGATCTACACCACGCCTTTGCTGCCTTGCTGTTTTCATCGCACAATAGCAATTTATTATCTGCACCAAACTCAAGTCACATCACTTCGTCCTCCATGAAACAGTCCACATAACACCACCAAATTTCAATCCCTCGATTTACTCACATCGCATGCCATGGGTTTTTCAGGAAGCAAGGACCCCATTGCATCCCGGCTTGCTGTCTGCCCCTTAATTGACACCAGTACTTCCCTGTCATTACAACAGGGTACATTAATCTTTTCCCTATTTGTATTATGGTTTCATAATCTACAAACTTGATATCATCATTTTCAATGATGAGAGTTAAAACGGACAGAGTTGGTTCGCTCTTCCTCACTAATACAACCAGCAATCACGGTTTCAATGACTCAATCAGTCCTTAGGGTCATTGAGTTAGCCTAAGGCGGTTATGTACTCACCATAAGGGTCATTGAGTTATCATTGTAGTTCCATTCTCAAACTTCTTGAATACTCACCTTTTTTTCTATATGTTCACCTAAGTTACCTACCCTTGCTTTTTATATAAGCAGGCATGATTGACAGCACACAAAATGTAAGTTCTATGCTCACTTGTAAACCAATTTTAACTGCTTCCAACATTTTCGTTGCTATGCCCTCTCCCCTATGGGGATAATCATACTACATATTTAGTCAACCTTATAATTGCAAATACTTTTCTGTCCCTTTTGCCATTGCAATTTCAAATAAAGGATAAAACAAAATAGAACTGTTGATTTAACAAATCCAGTACATACCCTTGCGACAGCTGAGTGTCAAACAAGAACTTCAGTATTTTTGCTCGTCCCTCACTCAATTTTTTGCCGATAGATGCCAGCCTCGTTTCCTGCTACCACAAAAATATTTCATCTTTCATTGTCTATATTTTCCCATACTTTATTAATTCTGGAACGTTGGAATACTCACCTTTGCCAATAAAGCAACCATCTTCGTTTGACGCTCGTTCATCCCACTGCTATCCATCTGTACATAAAACTACAATTTATACTTTACTTTTCTAATGCTACGAAATACCTTGCCACAAACCGATGCATACCTTTATTCTTTTACCTTACCTTCTGTTTTGTTTGTCTTCCCACACAGGCTTCTCCGTATTGTCCATCCTTAGTCTCTTTCTACTCCTCCACTTTGTAATTTTTTATGCACTCTTTTCACCCATTTCAGTACTATTCGTAGTTACTCTATCATTTTCACTCCTGCTTTTGGACCTAACATCTGGCGTTGTAGGACTAATCTTATGTAACTCACTCCCTCTTTTAACATTACCACGCCAATCGTCCTTCTGCCCACCCTCCACACCAAGTGCCCGGTTTGTTTTGCACACCCTTCCACTTTCATACATGCTCCTCAGCCTTTCGAAACGACATTCAATCATTGCTTCCATTCTACCAATACTATCCTTCACATCTTTATTACCACATTCAATTTCAATCAGTCTTCTATCGATGTCTTCTCTACAGCTTATGTTATTGTAAAACTGCACATTGCCCTGTTACTACAAGCCTTCAGTTTTGTACTACTAGTAACGTCACAAAATGCAGCTTGCAATTTCAACAACAATTCACACGAAAGGATTTTACATTACCTGTTCCCCCTCAAATATGTGATTCCTCCTCAATATTCGCACGCTTTCATTAATCTCGTACCTTCCCCAAAACCTTAGCCTCGGCCCTCTCGGCTGGAACTTGCGAAACTCGTTCTCACCCTCGATATAGAATCGTTCCAGATAGTAAATCTGCATGGACAAACACGCCTACCATCATTTACAGGTCCTTTATATCAAACTATAATTTCATTATTCCAGCAATTCCTTTCTCTAATACAAAATGGTGCGTATTTCTTATACCATCAAGAAAAGTGCACATCCCGCTATTCCGTTGCCGTCTCTATCACGGATGCTCTTCACCAAATTGTCTAATATGAATTTCGACCAGTTCAAATTTTTCATATTCTCCTCTGTAGCCACTACAGCCACCAGATCCCGGCTCACTGTGTCATCCAAACTTGGTGCTAACAACCTACCAACAACAAACAGTACGAACTTCACTTTGAATTCTAAGCCTTCGTTATGCAAACTACATATACTGTGCCTCAATTCCTCCACTACAATTTCACCGCTATTTATTCTGATATTCAATTCTCTTTCCAACTCTGTATCCATCTCTTGCCTTCGCTTTTCGCTTTCAATATCTTTCCCACGGCTGCTCAAGCCAAGTACACATTCCACATCCTCGGCTGTCACCTGTAGACAGTACCCATGAACGTTCAGTGTCCTCCGATCTACATCAAAGTTATCCACCAGCCAGTTCAACATCTCTTCGTCAACCTCTACTCCCTTCACATTCAAAATTGGACCGAATCCAAAGTCTCTGACAGCCTGCCGCTGCTCATCCGAGAGCCAATCCACCATATTCTTCACGGAATGAGTTGAGTGGCTTACCATTGTTTCCGCCGTCCGACGAATGCCCTTCCTTTCACTGCTGCAACTTTTATAATTCGAAGGTGTTCCACTCTCATGCATCAGCGATACTACATTTTCGCTTTCTCCTTCGCTATCCCACTGCATATCCGAAGCATCTATTTCGGCCGCCAGCTCCATAACAAATCCCTATCTTCTGCTATTCCTCCTGCTCCGGTTTTGGCGCTTCTTCCTTTCTAATACGCCTGCTCTTGTTAGCTTATCCAGTAAGCTTCGCGCCTACTTTCCCTCCCGTACTTTCGCGTACAAACCCTCACTTTGCCAGTTGCTTAATTTCGCCCCCTCCACATTTCACGTGCGCACATGGAGTCCCCTTCAACGCCCAATAGCTCTTCCGGTTACAAGTCACAAAAGCCCTTTCCACGTGCCCAGCCAACACACTTCCCCTGCCGTTTGTGGCCACAAATGCTTCAATGTCTTTTCCCTTAACTTTCCACACCTCTGTTTTGACATCTAAACATCCATAACCATGATTGTGTTTATAAACTAGGCGATTTACCGCAGCAGTCAAGCCGTATATGATGCAAACGAAATTACAGTCATTGCTGGCCCCTCTACCTTGACAGCCTTTGTCTGGAGAAAAATATATTCCTCACTACAAAGAATCAAACATCGCGAACCACGTTCGAGAAGACCGACTCGGCAACTATCGAAGTCTTCTCTCCTTTAAGTCTTTCCTCTCAAAAGGTCCTTTTTTTTTTTTTTTGAAGACCCTCTCCAAAGGTCAAGCAGATGATCAATATAGGAATTTATGAATGGCCAAATCTGCGTGTGAGATGGAAAGGAATGATGCCCTATGAGTAACGATTATTTGCATGTTACATGCCAGTGTTTGGATAGCTTAAATCAATAATTGATAGGTCAAGATTTATTTTGATTTAAAGTTTTTTTTTTTATTTTTTAAATTTGCATTGTATAACACCAAGCCTACTATATATCCAATGGCATGGATGCTCCAAAATTTCCCCAGTCTGTATCATGAAAATGAAACACCAGCTGCCGTTGGCGCATCTACCTTGTTTCCACCGTAAATTCCAATTTGATTCCTTTTTTATATGCCTGTATCAGAAAGACCAACTATCGCGATGTGGCGGACGCCTGCAAGACTCTAAAAAGTCTTCCCTCCCAGGACTCAAAATTTCCACTAAGAAGCCTATTAAAGGTTGTTAAAATCTTCTCGTTCTTTCCCTTTCTTTCATACGGTAACGACGCTCGTAGTCGAAAATTGAACATTCTCAGTTGTACATTCTCACTTACACATTGAACATATCTTGATTTGAAGGACTGGTGATTAATTGTGTATGTACTCTCTTTCTTGTATGTTATGGTACCAAACTTTTACTTTTCTATGGAATTTAAATTGATATGGATCTTTGTGATATGTACCTTCAATAAATAATAGTAATACGCTACTGATGCCCTGCATGCAGATCGACGTACGTGTAAGTGTATATAAACCCAAGCTCATCTCCCAAACTTCTCATCACTTGTCTTCTTTGTTTGTTGTCTGCTGCGACAAAAACCACAAACATTTACATGGCTCGAAAAGCTCCAAGCCCATTTCCGTCCATTAACATCTTCATCATCCTCTTCTTCTTCTTCTCCTTCACCCTCAGTCCTTTTTCACCTCAAGTGGTGTCTGCTTCAGTTTTCAAGAGACTTCGACTCTTGTCAACAGAAGAAACTCAGCCCACCTCCACCTTCTCCGTTTTGTCCCTCTCCCGGCATCCGCATTCATCCGTCATAAAGCCGCCATACGACAGCTACTCCGACCTCGTACTCTCCCGGCTCGCAAGTGACCGGGCCCGAGCCGAGGTCATCAACTCCAACATTGAGCGGGCTCTCTCCGCCTTCAACCGCCCTCATGGCGTCAAACCCGACGTCCAAGTCCAACCGGAGGACCTCGAAGCTCCCCTGACTCCATCTGGCTGAGCGTACGCAGCTCGCGTCGGAGTGGGCCAACCCGTGAAAGAATACTACCTGATAGCAGATACGGGTAGCCAAATCAACTGGCTCCAATGCCTGCCCTGCGATCCATGCTTTAACCAATCCGACCCGATCTTCGACCCATCCGGATCCTCATCTTACAGCCCTTTATCCTGCACATCGCAGCAGTGCACCGGCTTGAGCCCGGATTACAAGTGCGGCCAAAACAACACTTGCATCTACGGAGCGTTGTACGGGGATAATTCCGTCAGTATTGGAGAATTTGCCACTGAAACAGTGTCGTTCGGGAGTTCGGGTTCGGTTCAGAAAGTGGCTATCGGGTGCGGGCTTGAGAATCAAGGCCGATTTGGCAAGGCAGCTGGCATACTTGGCCTTGGGGGCACTGCAGTAGGCTTTCCTTCTCAAATTCAGGCGAAGTCTTTCTCCTACTGCCTCGTGGATTTGGACTCCAGCTCGTCCTCGACTCTCGAGTTTAACTCAGCTCCACCCGGTGACTCAATCCTCGTTCCCTTGATTATGAACCCAAAATCTGAGATTTATTACTACGTGGAACTCAGGGGGATCACTATTAATGGAGAACAAGTGCCCATTCCTGCATCGGATTATCAAATAGGCGAAGATGGGCGTGGGGGAATCATCGTCGACTCGGGTACCACCATCACGGCGTTGCCAGCTCAGGTATATAACTCGGTTCGCGACACCTTTGTTAAGTACGCTAAAAACTTGCCTCCCGCCGCTGGAATCGGTGATCTCGACACTTGTTATGATCTATCCTCTACGCCCACCAGAGATGGCTTCCCAATGATGTCGTTTCAGTTCTCCGGGGGCAAGACGCTGTCGCTGAAACCTCAAAATTACCTGTTTCGTGCTGGTTCCAACGGCACGTTCTGTTTGGCTTTTAAGACCACTTCTCAAAGTGTCTCAATAATCGGCAACACGCAGCAGCAGGGGTTTCGGGTTACTTACGACCTTGCCAACAAGATGTTTGGTTTCAGCCCAAATAAATGTTAAAAAGCATATAGGTGTTGATTTGATTTCAACCCAAATAAAATGCTGTTTATGAAAACATACTTCTAATATTGCTTAAACAATAACATGGGTACTTGGTAATCTCTTTATTAGACGTCTTTGAAGAAATTTTGTTGCTTGGATATCACCTTTGCTGAAAGAGTTGGAATTCAAAAACTTAACATATAGTCTGATCTGATGATGACAACAATATATCGTTAATATAACACATAGACCCCGTTATATTGGAAATACACGATTAAATCTTTTGGCTGCTAATTCAACGTAAAAATGACTTGAGTTATTTCCAAGGGATTAAATCAAGTCACTTATTGATGTTAAAGATTGAATTGAGATTTTTTTTTCAACATATCAACATAAGTAGATAAAGAGCGAAGAGCTCTGATGACCTGGATGGTTTTCGTCGTCCTCTCACGTGCGCTGTGCGTGGTTCCTGACGACGTCGTTTTGTGTTGTTCGCAATGTGTTTCTCGCGCATGACTCTTCGAACTCTAACCCTAGGTCAGACCAAAACGCCGCCTCTCTTCCCTTCCCTTTCTTCTCCTCGTCTCTCTCCTCAACCTTTCTCTCCGATCATTCTTCTTCCTCTCTCTCTCTCTCTCTCACTCGATCTTGACCTCTTTATTTTCTCCTCTGACTTTCTCCACCACACCGTCTCCCTCTCCTCTAAGAGGTGTGTCCATTTTCTTTCTCGGCTTAGGGTTAGCCGCATAAAACACAAGAATCTCTCGGCCGTTTCTTTCTTCCGCCGTCTCTTCTCCAGATCTTTCCACCGTCTTCGTTTCTCTCTCTCTGTTCCTTTAATCATCCTTTTCTTCCACATTTTTTTTCGTGCATTCTTGTTCTTGTCAGATCTTACCGTCTCTTCTTGTCAGATCTTGCATTTTTTTTTAAAAAATAGACAATGAGTACACTATCTGTTCTTGTCGGATATTTTTTTTTTTTTTTTGCTTTTTTTCCCTTTTCTGATTGCTACTACTATTTTGTTGTTTATGAGGATTATGTTATTCTTTTTAATTTTTAGATTTTTTATTTCTGTAGCTTGGATGAGCCCGTGAGGTGGGGTTTCAAAGATTTCCACTTTATTGATGCAAGAATTGGATGTTGGGTACTAGCACTTGAAGATATATGCTTTAGATTGGTATTTCAATATTTCCTCCATTTCCCTCTTCTTTTTTTTTTATTTTTTTTAACAAGCTCCTCTTTTCTGCAGATCCTTTTACGTGCGAGGTCTGATAGGAGTTTCTTCCGTCAGGTAATTTTTTTGTTCTTGTTTTTCTTGCAAATTCTATTTGTCTCTGTCTTTCAGTTTTGCTATATTTGTCATTCTTTATTGACTTCCTTTTATTTTGTTTTCTTTTCTGGGTGCTGAGCTGTGTGTTAGGTTGAGCAATGTATAAATGAGGAGAAAGCAAGAGCTTGTCATTTTCTCTGCTCACCTTCAATTGAGAAGATGTTGTGGGTAAGCTTTTCTGTGGCATCGGGAATAATTCTGTTTCATTTTTCTATTGCTGCATCACGAATCAAGAGCAGTTCAAGTTCCTATTCTGAGATTTTCTTGTGTTGTTTGGTTCTTAGTATTGTAAAAGGTCACTTTTCCATGTTTTAGTCCAAACACCATGATGACAGAATAGTATTCATATTATCATAACAATTGCATCAAGTACAAAACATTTTTTGAGCCAAAACTTCTCAATTGCACTGATTATACACCGAGTTTAGTTCCCTTTTACTCTTCTGTTTTGTGGCACTATTACCTATTGTCATGTTGTTGGTCGAAAGCACTGTTAAACAAGCCTCAGTTTTTTGCACTTTTTTGGTCTTCCAATTAGTTAGTTCAGTCTTGATTAATTACAGCTGTTTTGGCCTTTCTTGCAGTAATGCCTACAGTTATAGAAATAATAGTAGATATACCTGAGGATTCACAAGTGACACTTACAGGTAAGTTCATGTTCTAGCCTTCTGCCAATTCTGTTAACACCACCAAAGTGCACCAATTGGAGGACATTTTACTGCAGGGAATATCGACGAACAAGATTTTGGATGCGAGAAAGCTTTTAGCGGTCCATGTTCAGACATGCCATCTAACCAATTACTCCATGTCTCACGTGGTCAGTTCCTTTACCTTCGTACTGCATTCTTCATTCTTCGTACTACATTTTCTTATTACGTATTACACTAAGAATTGATGGACTCTAAACATAAGATAAGACACAACCTTTCATCTATCATCTATCATCTTCCTGCCCCGAAATGAAAAAGGGTACAGTCAAATCTTAGATACCATGAAGTTAGGATTTGTGGTTAATACTATCTGGTCTACGTGTATGGTGATATGGTTGCCTGTCAATGTATTATGTGTAATTTTTATGGGCCTTAATGAAACTAAAGGCCTGAATAAACTTAACAAGTTGTCTGTAGGAGAATGACAAAATAAAATAAAAAAGTTTGGTTTCTATTGACAAACTTAACCACGGATCCTTTTTCGGTGCTTTATGCTAAAAAATATCTTTTGTATTGCTTTATGCCATGGTTTCTATTGTAATAAATAAGAGAGCTTGTTCCTAATTTTTCAGCCTTTGACAATGGATTTGTGGTTTACTGGTTAGTTGTTTTAATCAAGAAATGTTTGGATACTAAGTTTGTGGATATTCATGATTTTGGCATATGATTTGAGCAACTTCACTAACTTCATTAGTTAGATTAAAACCTGAAAAAGGGAGTTTAGACATCAAACTGCTATTTTGTTAAGAATTTCAGTATATTTGATAGCAATTCCATTGAGTGTTTAGCTTTAGCGAAAATCTGGCAGCTAAAGTTAAAAGGTAAAACTTAGTCACCATTAATTTTCTTGGTATTCTCCCATGGTGGACATATTTTCCCTCAAGATTTGTGAAATTTTCGAGCCTTCTGTACCAAAAATTGTATGTTGATTAATTGTCTTGACATTTTTCCAGGAATGAGTTATGTTCAGAGGGGATTTTTATTATGTGCTTAATCTTTTGAATTGTTGCTTTGATCTAGACTTGTTGGTTGTATTTTTTCCCCGGGGAGATTCTTTAATTGGGTGATTTAGCATTTTTTGCTTGGTTTCCTCATCTCTTCTCATTTCTGTGCATGCGAGGCTGTCTTTTTCTTTTTTTTTTGTTATGTTTTGCTTTGGTGCTTAGTGGTTCTGAGGCTTGAAGGATCAGTCATTTGCAATTAATGAGTGGATTCCATCAGAAATTTTGTACTGGTGACTATTGTAATCGGTTAAATTTTGTCATTGCTTTGAGTTGCTTTTGGTGTTTGAGATTGTGATGTGTGAAGGAAATTTTGTGCTTGTTGTCTGTTGATTTTGTGTAAACCTCAAATTCTGTGTGTTTCTCTTCTTTTATTGAAGGAATAGAATTTGGATTACGAAAAAATGACATGAGTTAATGGTTTTTATGGTTTGTATTGTGGGACTAATCCTTTTAGGCAGACTAACAGTTATTTTCTTCTCTAAAAGAGATTTTTCCTGATTTAGGCTTTGTGAATGTTCTGGCTTTTTGCAGCTAAGCCGTGCGATTGATTAGCTTGGCTGCTTTTCATGTTTATGAAGTTAAACATGAGGTATATTAGGATTGTTTTTGTATTTTATATTTTGTTTGATTATTTATGCTTATGTAGTTATGTTTATGTCTCTGTTTTCATCGCTGTAGAATGTTAGACTAAGTGATCTTGTGTTAGGCATTCATCTGGTTTGATTAGGGATGGCTCACTGTTAAATTGGTTATTGTAAGACAGCTAAGGGTTTGGATTTTGACTATGAATAAGTAGTGTGTGCAGACTAGCAATGTATTGTTTGTTCATACTTATGCAGTTTATGACTATGCTTTTGAGTTTTTGCTGCAGAACGTTGAATTGAGTGATCGTGTCACTGGGCGGCTAAGAGGAAAGAATCTGTTGTCCTGCCTGTGTGACACATTCATGTTTTCTGATTAGGAATGCAGCTCAATGTTAAATTGATTATTGTAATCTTTTATTTTTTTTTAGCCTTTTTCTAGATAACAATTTTATTAGACGTTTTTAGTTAATGTCTAATATGTATTTATCATTGTTAAAGAACTTAACTGCAGAAACTTTTGTAGTAGCTAGGTTGCTAATTGATATGGCTCAATTGCCATTTCAGTTTGTACATGGCTTACGTTTTGTATATGTATCTAATTATTTATGGAACATGATGCTTTTCCGTTCTATGACAATTTGTTTTGTGGATGATTATTTGTAACTACCAAATTCTTGGCTGTTTTTTGCAATAAATGAACTATAGCCATATAAATGAACTGTCCATAGTTGACTTTGGCTGGGGAGGTTGCATTACAGTTTTTCCTTTGTTAAAAAAACTGCTTGGAAGTGTTGTGCCCTGTTTCTTTTGCCCTATTCTTCGGCAAATGAAGGGAAAAATGATAGTTTTAAGCATTATGTGTATTTGCAAGAGCATGCTGCGTCAGGTTTTAGAGAAGACAAGGATAAATTGAAGAATTTAGAGCCTAGATTCCTTTGAATGAAAGGGTTTCTTGTTATCTTTGTCTATGTTCCTGTTGAATTCAAGAGGTTTCAACTTTGTGAAATTGACAAGTCTTGTAATATGGGTCTCATGTTGCTCCACATAGCAGATTTTGTACTGTGTTTTTTTGTTCATTTACTTTTTTTATTCTGCACTTCATTAAACCAAGAAATGAAACAAGACAAAACAACTTGGTTTGCTTTTACTCCTTTTTCTCCATTCAAAGCACTAGAAGTTTAATGTTCAACAAGTTATTGCATTTGTTTAGCAATTCAGGCTTTGCTAATGGGTGTTTAGCCACAAAATTGATGTTAACCTACTTGCTGCACTCATCAAGCTTTAGTAGTGAATGTTTGCAAAGTTTCTTTGGTTACTTTGATGTCCTCTCTATCTTTTTAACTAATAATTAGTCATTGCAGTTCCTTTGGGATGAATATGATTTGCAAACACCAAAGGAGCCAAACTTTTTGTCTAAATATTCCTTGGTAATGTGTTTT